GCTCAAAATAGGTAAAATCTCATTATTTTTAGAATGATTATGTGCAAAGAAAGCAATGTTTTGCTTTTCCCATAGAAGCAAAATATGTTAAGAAATTATTGATTTAAGACAAGCTCCTATCTTCCTGAAAAGTTGCTTATAAGTTAACTTTTTAGTAGAAACTAGACCGAAGATACATGTTTTAAGTGTTGCAGGGTATGACAGTGAAATATCAGCCACATTCCCGTTTTCATACCGTTTGTTGCCTCAGCATCACCTTCTCCTCTCCCTCTCTGCTTCATCAATCACTTAAGCTCTCCCACGGCTCACGGCAAAGCTGGACCAATTAAACCTTCTAATTGAGCCAATTAGCAATTAAACACTCAGATGCACCCAGAAACTCTGCAGGTCCTTCCAGGAAAGCTGGAGTCTGCCAGCGTCTTGGCTTCTCACCAGAGATGCTCGCTCAGAAGAAGAGGAGTGCTCTGCTGCCCACTCAGGCTGGAGGTGTGATGTTTAAGAGCGAGCGCTTCCACAGCAGCCTCCCGTGGAAGTGGGACTATTAGCGTCCACTTCCCGACACTCTCCAGTCCTCGTGTTGCCTTTCCTGAAGGGTCTCCGCTGACCTGAGAGAAGCTTTTTCATTACCAAGACCTGTCTCCTCTCCATCTGCATTTTCACCTTTCATCTGCCGTTTGTCGCCCTCTTTTTTTTTTCCCCATCTCTGCCTCTCGGCCTTGCCGTCTCTTTTATGTATGAATGTGTCTGAGTTTCTGTCGGCGAGGGGGCTCGGCTCAAAGCAGGCCAGCCTCTAGACTCTCGGCGGTTTAATTAGAGCGTGCATTGTGCTGCCCTGCTTCTCTGAGAGCATATATGTACATCCACACACACAGAGAAAGAGAGAAAGGGAGCGTGGGCAGCACAACAAAGTCCGCACTGAGGAGAACAAAGGCAGGCTGCGTCGTATTTTCACTGCACCAGAAAGAGACAATGAGCAATTAAAGACGCCGTAGTTTGCGTCACAATTATAACAACCTCAGAGAATCCATACGTTTCCGCGGATTTTCTCCCCTCAAAGATCTTGTTGTACATAAACTTTATTGCTACATGAAGGAGCCGCGCTCGTTTTATCTCCTCATCAGTCTATAGACTCCAATTATCTGCTGTCTCGCCTCAGGACATCTAACCCTCATACTTTCTCCTCCGGATGGCTTTATTGGCGTTGTTGAGGTAGAGGGAAAGAAAAAAAACGAGAGAGACAACAAAAACGCAGAAGTGCTTCAGCTGGAGCATTAACTCAGTTAATGATGGCCTTAAAATGGATAATTATAGTGATCAAGAGGGAGAGTGTGTAAAAGAGAGGAAGGTGAATTAAAAAAAGAGCTAATTATTTTGTTTTCCTGTGTGTTTCCGTGTGTGTTTTGGTTTGCATGTGTGCTGCATCATAGCCTACCTGCTGACAGTTTGTATCTGGAAAATAAACTAGTTCAGTTCAATCAAGTTTACTAAAGCTTTAAATTAAGTCAAGGAGTCGCAAAACCGTATAACGACAAAATGAGCAACATTTTGAGCTTATACATAAAGACATATAAGCTCAACAACAAAGATATTTATTGTTTTTCATCTGCTATTTAGGTTATTAAACTATCAGATTACTGCAAAGCGCTGATATAACAATCAATTAATCAAAAATGCATTAATGTCCCGGCTTTGAAATACATAAATGTTTGATCATAGTTGAACTTCTAAACATTCTGGATTAAGTTCACAGCATGAAGCAGGAAATGATTCTTGTTTGTTCGTCATATTTCATCAGAAAAGAAATTTATATCAGTATTTCCTCTTTATCTGTTTAATCCTCTCTTACTCCCCTCACAAACACAATGAGTGAAGTGAATGGATGAAGTCCAGATGCATTATTTTATTCACATAAATTCCTTTTCCATTGTCAAACAGCAAAATTAATCTGGTTTATTTGTTTTTATTCCATCTACAAAAGTCAGTTTGTCTATAATCCTGAAAATCATCACAAACACCCACAAATTCTTCCAACCTTCTCTGAATCTGCTGGCCTGTTTTAATAGTCCAGGCAGAAATGATGAACCTTAATAAGCATCAATACAAACATTGGAAACCATTTTTCCAGAAGTTAAAATCTTCGGTCTTGACCAGAGTCGGAGGAAGTGGTTCGGTTTTGAAGCCAGAAATCTGATTCACATGCGATGAAGACAATATGGAGCAGAAGATTAGGGTGATGGCAAAGAGGCACTCCAACCTCATCAGCAGAAAGGTTTTTCCACTGATCGGTGAGAAAGCCATGAATATTTTCTCTCATGGTATATTTTATTAAATGTAAATGAAAACATCTTCCCCAAATTGAATTATTTTCATCTTTTGAGAGATTCCTGCCTGAGAAACCTTGTGTTGGTCAGCAAAATAACAGACTTTGAGGTTTGGCACTACAACGTGACAAAATGTGGAAAAGCTCTTTTTAGCGGATTGACCCGACCTGGACGGTCCAGTTCGGTAGTGTCATGTTCTGCTGGTGTAATCTCTACCGTGCCTCGTCCTTTTATTGATCCGGTTCTGTTACGCGAGGATTTGAACATTTCCACTTCAGATTACATGAATGGTTGTGCTACTACGAGTGGGCTCTCATTCATCTGTGGGTCAGTTAAGGCTTACCAAAAGCATCTGACTTCTGTCTGCGCTCGGCCAGAAAAATGCCCCGCCTCTTTTAAGCTGCTTATCGGAGCACATTATTGACCTTTGACCTTACTGGGCAGTGAAAGGATCGCCCTAATCTCCAGCCTCTGCTCTCCGTCCCTTCATCTCTACTGTACTTTATCTGCAAAGGCAAACCCCAAAGCCTCCAGGAAATTAATAACCGCAAAAAAAAAAAAAAAAAAAATCCAGGAATCATCAGCAGCCGAGTCGTTAGTGGAGGACGGGCGACGTGGCTCTGGACGGCGTCGGCTCCCCGTGGAGATTTGCGTGTAATATGGAGGAGTGAGCGGCCATGTTAAACACAGATCAACCAGGGAGGATTTGGCCCCCGTACAGGTCACACCAGCTTAGGACGGACATGTCCAGATCCTGGTTCAGCAGCACAATATGGCAGATATGTGGATTTAAAGCATCACAAAGTGCTGATTATGGACAAAATAAAGACGTGCACTGTATGGGTTTTTTCTCTGATAGTGAAATAAACTGGGTGGAAATAAATCCTCTAATAATGTGTTTTATATGGATTCTTTCATCTAAATGTACATTTGAAATTTAAGATGAATCTGGTCAGAAAGCAAAAGTTTGGAAGATATTTTCTTTAATTGAGATGAACATATATACAGAAATATGTATTATTATTATTATTATTATTATTATTATTATCTTTTTTTAACTGTAGTGGGAGCCATTTAGTCTTGAAAAATTACCCCCTCCCTTCTATAATTAATACAATCAATGTTATCATATATTTTTTCTTAAACAATAATTGTAGAAAGTGCTTAGTGTAACAAAATGAGTAAAATTGTTGCTTTAACTTATGAACCCAAAAGCAAATAAATCAAGCACAGTTTTAGTTTCAGTTCTTGTTGGACATAAAAACTAGATTATCAGTTAAATAAAGAATAATAAGTATGTTTAAATTAAAACACAAGCTTAAATCAGGCTGATTTTTGTCTAACTTTGACAGGTCATGCACTAAAAAATAAACTTTATCTCCAACTTAAAAAAATCAAGCTAATTTGTTACATGCAAGCGAATTAAGTTTACCAGACTTAATTAATTTATGTGTGTTCAACCAAATAAATGTAATATATTTACTTTGATTATTAGTAACAAATGAACTATTTTTTCTTTTAGTTGCATCGCTTGTTTTCTTTTTCCAGTGCAGGTGTTTGAATGAGGTTTTTAACGAAAATGGACAAGAACGACTTAATGAGGCGTCAGCAATGTGTGCTTCAGATCTTAAGCTAACCGAACGGACAGATGAATCGACTCGCCATGCTTGACTTCTCTGGTTTAAAACGATGATTGATATTGAATTACTGCCGTTTTCTTCAGATTCTGGTGGAATAAGAGCTTCATCCCTCACGGTATCCAGGAGGCATCTGTCTTATGGGGGCTACTCTGATGTTCTTAAGCGTATAAATGAAGATATTTCCGTCTAAATCCAAGCTAACACTAAAATGTGTCTATAATGGGTAATCTCCACATTGAATGGGGCAGCATAATAAAGTGAGAAATGAGACGTTTTAAAGGTTGTAAAAAATGGATGTCAACTGATCCTCAACATGTTAATCTCCATGATAAATGTTCCCTTTTGCTTGATCTGCTTAGTGCCGTCTCCAGATTTAGAAAGTCTTTTGGTTTCATAGCGTTTTTCCTCAGTTAAAATGAAAAAAAAAACTGAATATATTTTAGTTTAATCGGTAATTTAAAGGGCAGTTTTATGTAAAATTGACTTTTTTGAGCTTTATATCATGTTACCTAATCAAAAACATACTTGGAGTTTTGCTTTCATTCTTCCATGAATGCTTGAGAAAACCTTTAATCGCCATGGCAACCATTCAGCTGTGCAAAACACCTGGGTGGACCTAGCCCCGCCTTCGAGACGCAGCTCCTCCTCTGAGCTGCAGTTTTCAAGCTTCTGAGCAGCTCCTTCAGACTAGCCAGCAGCAATTAGCAAACACCTGGTGAATCCTCTGCATCAGCTGAGATCATTATGTGAGCTACGCCTTAGTGAAACACCGGTAAAAATGTCTTTAAAGGGTTAACAGAGAAGACATGTCGTGATGACTTCCTGAAGGCGGAGTTTTAGAAAGAGCAGGAGCTTTTAAAGAGACAGAGGCCCAATATGAAGGTGTTAAATTACAAAGTCAAACTTCTTCCAAGTCATATTTGATATGTAGTATTTTTATAGCAACTGAAGTTAATATGGTGCTATAAAATGACACTGTGTGCCTGGAAAACACTCTTATCTGCTTTTCTTCCTCCCGTTCCTCTGTCTCACTCTGCAGAGTCCTTCATCAACCCAATTATCTGGCCAACGGGAGAAGGACAGGCATGGAACGCAACAGAACCATGCCTGGAGAAGTGTTTTGGATCGCCTCTAATCGGTTTCACCACTGACCTGGATCTCACACCGAGGGCCGAAGCAACGTCTTACCTTCTGCCTGGCGCTGGTTGAAGAGTCCGTCTGATTTTGGTGTTTTATCTTGTTATGGTTTTCCCTCCTCACCGCCGGACCGAGCTGACAGAACAGACTAGAAGCAGGTGGCTGAGCCCTTTGACTCCAGCCATGAACAACCTTCCACTACCTCTGAGTAAACGGAGTCGGCGGGGTTTGTTGCCCAGGACCAGACCCTTCAGCTTCGTGACAGACTGCTGCCTCATGACGGTGCTGAGCCTCGTCTTGTTTTTCAGCCTGGCCTCTTGCCAGAGAATGGACCCGTCGAAGCATCCCATAGTCAGCACCAACTACGGCAAGCTGAGAGGCGTCAAGAAGGACCTGAACAATGAGATTTTAGGCCCGGTGGAGCAGTACCTTGGAGTTCCCTACGCCACGGCGCCCATCGGAGACCGGCGGTTCCAGCCGCCGGAGGCGCCGGGGTCCTGGCAGGAGATCCGCAACGCCACCCAGTTTGCCCCCGTTTGCCCTCAGAACGTCCACGGCGTTCTGCCGGAGATTATGCTTCCGGTTTGGTTCACGGATAACCTGGACGTGGCGGCGGGATACATCCAGAACCAGAGCGAGGATTGCCTCTACCTCAACATCTACGTGCCCACAGAGGACGGTAAGTTGGCTCTGAGACGTGACGGCGTTGGTGGAGAAAAGAACAAATGGGTTTGTGTTACTGAGCGTTTATGCTCTGGTTCTTGTGTCTGTGCCTTTCAAGCTTTCCAATCTTACAAAATTCTTCTAGATACACAAGGAAATACATTTTCATCATCAATTTTTTGGTAGAGAAAGCAGACCTCTCTCTCTTTTTTGGTCTGGAAGATTTTGTTTGTTCAAAACTCATTTGTAGACGAGACATTTTCAGACTTTAAAGGTAGAATATGAACATCAGAAGGCATTATTACCACCTATTGGTAAACGTGGCATCAATATAAATCAAATCAATATAAAGGTGATCACAGTGCTAATGCTAATGCTAATGCTGCATCTGGACAGTAACTGTCCAGATAAACGTTTTTAGCATTTCCTGCCACTTATGTTTGGAGTTTGAATGAAAAAGCTGCTCAAATGAAAAGAAACAGGTAAAAATTGCACAATTTTTGTTTTTTTAAGTGCATGCTTAAAATGGAAAACAAAAAAAAAGTTCAGTTTCAGATCTTCTAAAATGTCCCAATAATTTTTGTGACTTCTACTTTTTTCTGTGACTTTCTACTTTTTTCTGTGACTTTCTACTTTTAAGGGGATGCAGGTAAGGTGACAGATTAACCGAAGTCTAATTCTGCACTTGCTGCACACTGTCAGTCAGCTGGCTGAGGGAAGTTTTTCTCATTTTAAGAAGAGCAAATGTTGGTTTTTCACTGTGAAAAACAAAAGTGTTCCTGCTTGTCAAAATTAACTGATTTCTGTCTAACGGTGTGTTTAATCAGAAATCATAAGAGCTACGGCAAACAGAGATTCTGGTTGATTTCTGGTCTTTGTTTTTCTACAGCTTTACTTGATTTACATATTTCATATTATTCCAATTTCTCTTTAAGGGTTGTGATATAAGATCATTCTGCAAAATGTATTTTTATGCCATTTCTGGCATGAGAAATCATCAATAATTCATGCTGGCTGCACAGGCAGCATGTCTGTGTGCATTTTGAGAAGCAGGCTTTTAAATAAAGTCAAAATGTCTCCATGACGACTTCCACAAAGAAAATGTTTGTTGTCTTGCTGGAGTTCAGGTTTGGTGAAAGATTGTATTTTTGAGTTTCTTACTTGCTGGCCATCTGTGAGGATTCAAACAGAAAATAATCTGAAAAGTCTTAACATTCAAGTTCTGTAAAACTTCAGTTGTCCTTATATTTTATTTAACTTTTTCTTGACTATTTGTTTAAGAAGATAATAAGTAGGCAGTCTTTTAAAACAGGCCGCTTGTTCTCTAAATGTTCGTTTCATATCAGCATTTTTGATAAATCAGGATAGTCTTTTAGTTTTTGTTTAGTTTTATTTGAATTTTAATACAACAGCATTAAAAAAAGAAAAGACTGCATAGTTAAACTAAAAATAAAAGGAAAAACAGAATACAAAGCAACTTATTTCCACATTTAAGAAATTAGATGAGCTGAAGCTGGAATATCTGACTGACCTTAAATCAGATGTGCTTATATTTTACTCAAAATATATATTAATTTCTGCTCAAATAAATCTACATGTTTTTAACAAAAGCTTTTATTGTGTTTTTGAGTAGATGATAAATTCAGAAGCGTTTAACTATTAATACGTCTCATGCGATAGACACAAACGTTGAGTTTTAGTTTGCTGGTTACCCACGTCAGACATGTTTGAGGAATCCTCCAGCCACTAGATGGCAGCAAAGTGTTTAATTACTGGTATGTGTGGAATATGCATCAACAGGCATTAGGTTTTATTAAGAAAGTGATTAGAGGCAAATTTTCAAATAAGAGGTTAAGGTAATTCAATGTTTAATATTTTTTCTAGAATTTTTGTCATTTCTAAAATGAGATCCATTACATATTTGTTATTTAGACCCAAAGCTACAATTTGTTTTTGAGTTTTCAGAAACCCTGTAGTTTATTTACACAAATCCAGTAAATATCTGGATCACAGCTGCAATTGCAGAATAAAGATATTTTTTAAGAACCAATCCTTTTCAGTGTTGACAGAATCATTAGAGATTCCTTTATCGCTGCTTTGTTTTCAGTATTTCCTCTTATATTCCAGCAGAAAGTCTGTGTTTTGCTTTTTTTTAATGTGTTTTAAAAACAGAAGGAGATTGTTTTACACAGTTTGACAGGAAGTTGCTGGAGTCTTAATTTCCCTAATCCAATCCCAGGACAAAACTCATCATAACATCGCTTACAGGAGCTGCTTTGTTGGGAAGATATTCAGCAAAGAAACACACCAGTAGCTCTGATATTCCTTTTCTTTTACCTCGCCTATTAATTATTTGCATTCCTCTTGCCTTTTTCAAACAGTTGTACTCTATTTATGCACAATATCACTTCTTCCAGTGAGTCCTAACCAAATTTTATTGCAAAAACAGAAAAACACAAATGATAAATCACAAACAAAATCAGTGCAGTTGTGTTTTTACTTATGAGATGTGATAAGCGTTGTTCTGAGACTCTTAATCTGCTTTGGTTCTGTTGGAGGGCGTCTGAAATAAGCTGATGACTGAATAATAGCTCGTCTGACTCCTCTGGAGTCTGCAGGTGATTTATGAGAAAAAATATTTGACTTTTATCTCGGTTTTTTGTGGCATGAACCCTTTTTTTTTGCTGATTCTGTGGAGATTTCTGTTTGCCTAGCCACAACTCGCAGTGAAAGCAATAAAAACGAAAAATATTTCTTTTTCTTCAGTGGAACCGATAAGAAGTCTCCCAGCTTCCATCAGCGCTCCATCTTGCAGCGCAGCGTGTTTGATAACATGTTAGGATTTTGATGCTTCTTCTTTATCTCCTGTATGAGCTACACAAAGCTTTCTGTAAGTCTGCAGGAGTCCTGCTGCAGATTTTACAGGCTGAACATGCAGCGTTTGACCTGAGAGTCAATTTTACGAAGGAAATATTCTGTCAAATATCGTTTATTGCAGAGAGTTATACAAACAGAAATACAAAAAAAAAATAACTGATTCTGTTTTCCTTCTGCCAGGTTATTGTCTGTTATACCCTAAAAAAAACCTTTTCTTTTCTATTTCTTGGGCGCTCCGCCCCTCTGTAAAGCCGCCCTGGGTGACTGCCATATCAAAACATTTCTCTGTTTGTATACATTTTTCTGTGCAAGCCAAACCCAAGGTGTTGTGTCTCTACACATCTCTAGTCGTGTTTTCATTACAGATGTGCGCCAAGTAAAACTGTGGTGGCATCATCATGCTGGGGGAAGTTTTTGATCCGCAGGAATACAACATGAAGCTTGTAGCTAAAATACATCTGCTATTCAGACGTTTATCTGGGGTGGATGTTTATTTTCACACAGGGCAACAAAGTTAAACACTCAGCCAGAACGACACTGCAAAAACACAAAATCTTACCAAGTGTTGTTAGTTTCTAGTGCAAATGAAGACAAAACTGGTTTACAAGTAACTTTTCTGAAAGATAAAGGGTCTTGTTTTAATTGACTAATTCCTTAATTTAGTTATAATGAGTGAAAAAGTACTCATTATAAGTAAAATAATCTGAACCAAAGCAGAATTTGTACTTTTAAAAAAATCTATTTTAAAGGGGCTGTATTATGTGTTTTTGAGTTTTACTGCAAAATCAAGTAACTATATTAACTTCAGTTGTTACAAAAATGCTAAATATATCAAATATGACTTAAAACAATTTTGACTTTGTCATTTAATGCCTTGAAATTGAGCTTCTGTCTCCATAAAATCTCCTGCTCTTTCTAAAACTCATGAAATCGCTCCTCTATCAACCCTTTAACAAGTTTTTTTTTTTTTTTTTT